CATTATTATACAGGGTGACGCACCTCATTCGCCTCGATTGATTCGTCCTCGATAGATGCTTTGGTTTTTGAGATATTTAAAGACATTTAAATATGCATGCTCTAATAAAAAAGTTTGTCAGCACCCCGTACATTACCTTTCAGAGTTTATTCTTGTGGTGACTTTGAAACCAGAGAAATTAACTTTACTAAAACAATGTATTGCTTTCTTAAATGTATACAAGGGTATCAAAAATTGCTGGTCTATTTTAAATATTTATTTTACATAAAAACTTCGTTATTTCTATGTATGACGCAATTTTTGATACCCCTGTACACATTTAAGGAAGCAATCAAATGTTTTTAAAAGTTTATTTCTCTGGCTTGAAAGTCAGCACAAGAATTCATTCTGAAAAGTAATATACAAGGTGTTGACAAACTTTTTATCATAGCATTTTAGCATAGCTTATTTAAATATCTTTAAATATCTCAAAAACCAAATCATTTAAATATAGTAAACCCTTATAATAAATGCCTTATTTTATGTTCAAAAATCCAAAAATGAAATAAAATACCTGGTGTTCCATAAGAAAAAATATAACTTTGGTATGGATCTTAGTTCTGACACACCTTGTACATTTCAAAATAATTTTAAATTATGTACATTACTTCCCACATATACCCGTCTGCTGTATGTGTTACAGAGATGCCACGACACACGGAAATCAAACAAACAATTTTTCAGAAGGGTCAGACTAATATTTTTATAAAATAGGCGTTTTCTTAACATTTCACGCTGGTCCTAAAAAGACGATCAAATATTAAATAGGATAATTCTGTGGTCATTCCTAAAAATCAGAGATTTTAATAATGGCGTTTATAACATGTTAGTGTAATCTGCTGGACAGAATATGGCAGAACGTACTACGTTTTAGTCACGGTTGCAAAACGCACCAGCGTTAGGCTCAACCAATGAGAGCCGGGAAAATCACATTATGGACTATATAATGGTACATTTTGCTTAAATGCCACCGGGAGGCACGTATAGCCGCCCATACTAAAATATGTTAATAAAAAGTTGGTAGGCAGTTCTTTAAATTTCAAAGTAAAGCAATTTTTCCAATTTTGGTCCGCGGTTATTTCCCCTATCCGCCACCTGGGGTCGCGTCCGATGGGAGTTTGGAGTTCTCCACATTTTCTCAAAAACTGCGACTGACTGATTTTGATGTTATTACAAATTTTGTTGCAAATTGCAAAATTTATAAAAACTTAAATCTTTTAAAAGATTTAAGTCTTTTGTAAAATGACTTAAGTTATTAAAGAAAATTACAGTTAGGGTTGGAACCTTTGAGAAGAACACAGCAAAAAACAAAACACTAAATCACCACAATACACCAAAAACACTTTCTTTATTGACACTGGACGCGCGTTTCGCTAACCATGTTAGCATCATCAGCAGATTGAGCGTTTATATATGACTCGCTCAGTGGGCACCGCAGTTGAAGCGGCGCTAGCAAAATCTAGCCAACCGAGTCAGAGCCCACTGAGCGTAACAGTTAGATTTCCACCACTAGAGTAGTAGGAACAAAGAACTTGAAGGAATTGGACCGTTGTCACTGTTCATACTCTCTTTACATTTAATAATTCTGATGCTTTCATATGCATCTAATTGCCTGTAATTTGAGACTTGTTTAATTAATTTTAACCAGTCTCAAAAATTAATTAAACAAGTCTCAAATTACAGGCAATTAGATGCGTATGAAAGCATCAGAATTAATAAATGTAAAGATAGTATGAACAGAGACAACGGTCCAATTCCTTCAAGTTCTTTGTTCCTACTACTCTAGTGGCGGGAATCTACCATCAGTTACGCGCTCAGTGGGCTCTGACTCGGTTGGCTAGATTTTGCCACGCCCACTGGTGCCCACTGAGTGAGTATATAAACGCTCAACTTGTAGATTGTACTTTAGTTTATAATCATCTGCTGATGATGCTAACATGGTTAGCGAAACGCGCGTCCAGTGTAAAAGTAAAAGTGTTTTGGTGTATTGTGGTGATTTAGTGTTTTTATTTTGCTATTAAAGAAAGATGACTTAAGATATTATATCAAAATTCTCATTTCAGCTTCTAGAAAAATAAGGTACTAATAATTCTATTGAATGTTTTCCTATTTATTTTAAAAATATATCTCCACATACCCTGTTAAATTATAAATTAGAATATAAAAAACAAATAAAACAATTTAATTATATTCTACTATTTAATAATATAATTTTATTTTGTTAAACTTAGATCTCGTTTAAAACTCATCTGTACCAAAGAATGTTTGCATCCTTGACATAATTTTTGAACCATAAAAATCGAATTATTACCGCGAGTAGTTTTTCAGTTAAATGTATTATTTCATTTTAAATGTTCTAAAATTTTACCGGTCAATTCAATTATCCCTTTAGCGTATCTAAAATAAAATAATATTAGGCATTAGATATAGCTTGGATATGCCGCATTATAGCTGAACATTCTAGGAAATTTTAAAAAACACTTTTTAAATTCATGATGAGTTATTTTTGAAGTAGATAAAACTTCCTATAGTTTTTTTTAATAATTACACACATTCACTTGGTCCCCGAATCATCTTTACAAGAGGAAAAACTTTTTTAATATCAACATTTTGAGACAAATTCAAGCATTCTTATAAAAGGATTTGCTTGTTCTAAAATGATTAAACTATTTGTTGCACGTAAAAAGGCTCTCATGATATGCAGAAAACCGGCGGGATATAGGTGGGGCTGCGCTCCTAACATTTTGCGCTGAATGTATACCATGATAGTAAGCCCATGATTACTTATGGAGCAGTTGCTTGGTATACAAAACTAGAGCAACGTACAGGAAGGCAAAACCTGTGCAAAGTATAGAGACTGGCATGTACTGCATCACAGGTGCCATGAGAACATGTCCAAAAGCAGCAATGGAGGTCATTCTAGACCTAACATCACTACACATTGTCGTCGATAGTTATGCCAATGCGACAATGATTAGAATGGTCATTAACTGAAACAATGCTGGGAGAATTTTCAGGTCAGGGGCTTGGAACACCCTCAAAAAGAAAATTCCACTTCTTCAACTCCCAGTGGATGATATACCAAGAATTTACAACTTTGAGAAACACCTCACTGTAGAATTAAGTAATAAAAAGGATTGGAAGAAATAAACGCTTACTTATATAAAAGACCATACCATCACGTGGTATACTGATGCTTCCAAAACCAAAGCAAGGACAGGGATAGGAGTTATATAAAAGACCATACCATCACGTGGTATACTGATGCTTCCAAAACCAAAGCAAGGACAGGGATAGGAGTATTTGGGCTGAAAACTAAATACTCCGAACCTATGGGCACCTACCCCAGTATCCTTCAGGCAGAAATTTACGCTATCGAAAGATGCGTACAATTTATCTTAGATAGGAACTATCGAAACAGGAAATTGCCATCCTATCCGATAGTCAAGCAGCACTTAGCGCGATCAACTCAGTAACCATCAATTCGAAGTTGGTCAAAGAATGCCTAGAGAAGCTCAACAAATTAGGCAAAGAAAATAAAGTCCTCCTACTCTGGCTGCCTGTTCACCAAGGGATAGAAAGCAGTGAGAAAGCAAATGATTTAGCTCCACTAACTGGACCAGAACCGTTCTGTTTTCCAAATGGGAACCAACTGAAAGCGGAACTGAAGAATCTGGAAGACTCCATCCGTAACTTGGAATGGGTGTCCTCCAACGACAAGAAAGTCGAAAAAGTTCCTCAGAACTTACGACCGAGAAAAATCAGTTTTCCTTGATTTAAGTAAAAACAATCTTCGGATTGTCACGGGGTTTCTAACAGGACACTGTCTCCTCAACGAACACCTCAGTAGGCTGAAACTGAGAAACAACGGCGAATGCAGATTTTGTGGGGAAAATGGGGAAACACCAGAACACCTTATCACTGAGTGCGCCGAGACGACGACCATTCGTGCCATGGATTAACTTTGGTACGTCTGATGTCGAGGATGGAGAGCTGGCCTCTGTGGAGCCGTCTCAGATACTGGCTTTTGTTAAAGCCCTGAGACTGTCTGATGAGATATAACTCGTTATAACTCAAGAAAGGGGAACACACAATAGATCTATAAGGTCGCGGTGATTAACTCCCCTCCTAAACTTTCTACATTCTACATTCTGCACGTAAAAAACTATTTTTTACACCCAAAAAAGCTATTCTTTACTTGTAAATTATTTTTTGTATTATATATGTTACACGTAAAAAACTAGGTATTTGTTACGCGAAAAAATATTTTTTTTTTTAATTTGTTAGAATAGTTAGTTAGAATTAGTTAATTTGTTAGAATAGTTGTTTAGAATATTAATTTTTACATTACTGTTTGGATATTTCAAAGTACACCTTTTCAAACATGTCCTTCAATGTAATAACTATTAGTAAGAAGTTTCACTTCAAATATGCGCACATAGTGCACACAATTTTTTTCTAAAGAATGCATTTTTCTCAAAATGTTAATAATAAAAAATTGTTCCTCTTATAACCACGATCCGGGGACATGGGATTAAAAAAAATTAAAAGAATAGAATTCTCTCTTATAGTATATACAGGGTGTCCCAGAAATAAGTGCAAGTATTTTAAGGGGTTGTAGATCTCGATAAAAGAAACATATTAAACTCTTTATCGTTTTTCAAATAAGTCCAAAATAACGGAGTTATTTTACTTTGAAAAATTAAAAAAATATATATTTTTTTGCTAAAATTTTGAGAACAACTGGATCTTTTCTGGATTTTCTTTCTTGGAAATTTAATCTACTACCTATATTGCCATATTATCAAGAAATTATGTTTTTTTAACTAAAAAACTAAAAAAAATCCTTTTTTTTTTCGAGAAAAAGCCTTATAGGTATACCTATTTCTGGGGTTGAACTATACTCCCAGTTAAAATACTTGCACTTATTCGTGGGACACCCTGTATAATGTAGAACTTACCAATATATGTATGGTGTGGGTACATAGAAATCCTATAAGTAAGGTTCCGAATAGACCAACTAGAAGACCAGCGTTTCTAAAAGCTCGTGGAATGGCTAAAATTCCGGTACCAAGAGAACTTTTTAACAGATGTGTAAGCGCTCCGGAGAAACTGAAAAAACAATGTATATTAATTAATAAAATATTAATAAACTACTTAACAGAAGAGATGAAACAATGCAAAGTATAGTTAAATATCGTTTTGTCGGTTTGCTAACGACTTTTTATGAGCACCCTGTAATTTCGTTGTGGATAAAGCAAGAATATTCATTTTTACTAATCGAGAGGACACACTATAGCTGACTATATTGCCAATATATTTAGTAGTTACACCTCGTAGTTTATGAATTATCGCTTGTCAAATTTCTTTAATTTCTCACTGTGACTCACTGATCTATACTAATACAGGGTGGCCCATCGAAAACGTCCCGCAAGGCATAACGGCCAGGGTAATTTTTTTTTCAGAAAATTCAAAAACACGTCAATTTTGTTTGTGAGGGGGACAACTTTGGCCCAAAAATTATTGCAAAATCTTCGACCCTCTAAGCGGGGGTGTTATCCCCCGATTTTTTTCAAATGGAAAGGGGGGTCAAGGGGTACCGCAATGAAAAGGGCTTTCTATTCTCTATACTTTCCTGCTTCGTTTTTGAAGATCAGTCGAGTCGTTGGGAAAATATGAAGGATTGAAATTTGAAAAGTTTTTTAAACATTTATCAGAGTAAATGATAAGGATAAATTCCTTCGACCAATTTGCTGTTTTTTCTTATTATTTCTAGATGTTTGCAATCGGGTTGCGCAGATATTCTATGAACGCCATCCTGACAAACACCTTTATGGCAAAATTGTTCGCCAGTTAGTAGCAAAATTTTGCAAAACTGGTTCCGTTATGAATAAAAAAAGGCAGAGGGAAAATCCTGTAGTAAGTGAAGCTATGGAGGTATTCGTATTGGGCCAAGTTGCCATGGACAGTATTCTGAGTACAAGAAAATTAGCCAATGAAACCGGCGGGAATCGTACAAGTTTCCAAAGGATATTAAAAAAACACAAGTTCCACCCGTTCAAAATTCAGTTGGTACAAGAACTCAACGAAGACGATTTTGATCGTTGCTTGCAATTTTGTGAAGCTATGAGTGAACGAGTGGCGAATGATAATAATTTCCTATTTAACGTGTGTTTTTCGGATGAGTGTACTTTCTTTTTGAACGGTGTAGTTAATCGGCACAACTATCGGTACTGGGCTGAGGACAACCCCAAAGTTTTTCACGAGGTGCACACACAAAACCCTCAGAAATTGAACGTGTGGGCTGGTATTTTTGGAAATTCTATTGTAGGTCAGTTTAACGATATTTAGAAGAACTTCAATGTACAAGTCACAGAACAGCTATCTAGCAACTACCGCACCTGATCGTTCAACCTTGTGGCAAGTGAAGAAATGCGTAAACATCTAGAAATAATAAGAAAAAACAACAAATTGGTCGAATTTATCCTAAATTATTATCATTTACTCTGATAAATGCTTAAATAAACTTTTTAAATTTCAATCCTTCATATTTTCTCAATGACTCGAGCGATTTTCGAAAACGAAGCGGGGAAATATAGAGAATAGAAAGCTCTTTTCATTGCGGCGCCACTTGACCCCCCTTTCCATTTGAAAAAAGTTAGTATTGTAAAGTGAATATTTTGCAATCATTTTTGGGGCAACAGTTGCCCCCCTCACAAACAAAATTGACGTGTTTTTGGATTTTTTGAAAAAATAAATACCCTGGCCGTTATGCCTTGCGGAACGTTTTCGATGGGCCACCCTGTATATAAAATCCTTAAGTGACTGACATACTGATTAATCACGATCCTGCTCAAACCACTCAACGTAAGAAGCTCAATTTTGGCATACAGGTTAATTCTCATGGTACAAAGAATACAAGGTATGATATTGCGCAGGTTGGTCGCTACGTCACAGGTGATAACAGGCGCTATTGGTCAGCACGCTCCGCGCGCCAGTTTAAATCGTCAAGGTATTGTTATAAACCTGTTTTTTTGTTTATATACCGTCATTGAATTATCGCTAAGCAAGTTACTATGGAGCAGTGCGTAAAGCCCCGTTCTCAGAACTGCGACTGTCGCCAGCGACACGACTAAAGAACCAATCAGATTTGTACAAAATTCAAACAGCTGTCAATTTTAAATTTAGTACAGCTCCCATTGGTTGTTTGAAATGTCAAACTGTGTCGCCCGCGACACGACGTTGTTCTGAGAACGGGGCTTTAGGAGTTGGGCTAGGAAGCGAGAGACCGGGGTTCGAATCTCGGCGGGACATAACTTTTTTTAAATACTGTTGTATTCTATAGTTTATTTTGTAGTATAAAAGAAAGAACTATTTATTCTGTTATTTTTTAATCTGCGGTATTAATATAAATTGATTGTTGGTACAATAATTCTCATTTAATATAAAATAATATTCTACTTTTTTGAAATGTATCTGGCCCTAATTGTACCTAAAAAGTAATATATTTTTACAGATATACCATATTGTAAACTATTGAATATTTCAATCACTTAAAAAGTTAATTTGCATTGAATAATTGCCTACAATCAAAGGAAATTTGAGCTATATAATCCTTGATGGGCATATTCTGGTATGCAAATACTTTTTAATACCTCTAAATTTTGGGTTTCTGTTCAACTGATTTATTCTCAAAACCAGAAACATCTACATATAAAAAGAAGCACCAGGTCACTAATTATAATAAACTTCTCACCCTTTGGAATTACTTCTGTCACAATTACAATACATTCATCTGCATTGGCATTTTCTACTTTTCGATGGGAAACAATATAATTCCCAACATTTTTTAAATGATGTAACAATTCCTCTTGTGGTTACTTTTCCATAGATATCCTCATCTCTGTCCTCATGTGAATTCAGAGGCAATGAACATAAAAAATTATTTACCATAAACATCGCAAACTAAAAACCTAATAAACAATTTTATACCGAATATAGAAATAAATTTAGTATACCTATTATGGTCCAAATCCATGTTAATGGATAATTATTATTTTTAAATATATTTTTGAAACTGCTGGTTTTAGTAATTATTAAATTAAACGAACTAAAAGTCTTAAAATAAACAATTCTTAACCATAACCCCAAAAAATGCAGATCTCCTGTCAACTTTCTTTATTTTTTATTTATTCATTATTTTCCTAGTGACGTCACAGGTCAAATTGGAGCCGCTATCGATCATACCTTGTATTCTTTGTACCATGGTTAATTCTAGGGTGTAGAGGTTCGATATGAAGGGATTTTTCGAAATTCCTGTTCCAAGAGGGTGAAACCACCCCTCAAATATTACAATATTTTTTATTTAAAAAACGGTCAAGTTTCCGAAAAAAACGCTTAAACACGTATATTTTATTTTGTTTTTTTACATATTTTAATATTTTTTAAAAATGTATACAGGGTGTTTCGAAAAATCCGGTCATTGATTAATCACGATCCTAAATAAAATCCTAAATATTTAGGAATCATTCTGGACTCGAAGCTTTCCTGGAAAAGGAACACGGAGGAAAGGATGATAAAGGGAATAAATGCATTCTATGCATGTAAAAAACTATTTGGAAAGAGATGGGGTCTGCAACCGTACATTATACACTGGATGTACACTGCTATAGTTCGACCAATCATCACTTATGGAGCACTAGTATGGTGGGAAGCGGTACTTAAAGAGACTAATAGAAAAAAAGCCTCACAAAAGTATACAGCGATTAGCAGCTCTAGGTACAACTGGAGCAAGGAACAACACAGCGCAAGCTGCGCTAGAAGCAATTTTGGACTTGGTAATCAATCGACTGGCTGTAAGCGATTCTGGCCGCTAAGGGTGCCCTAAGATTAAGGGAATCCAATCTGTGGAACCAGACCAACTACGGTCACTGAGGATATTGCGATAGGGGAAAATCATGGTGAACACGAGTCCACATCTGCTAGACCAGAAAAACGGACTATATGCTCACCAAACATGATTTTGGAGAAAAGATAAGAATTGCATCTGACAAGAGAAGAATGGGAAAGCAACTGAGTAATGAACACTCAAGAGATAGCAGTTCACACAGATGCTTCCGCAAATTCAGGGGCACAGGTGTGGGCATCTTCTCAGAGAAACTAGACATCCGACGATCTTTTGAGGCTATCGGATGGCTGTAATGTTCTCTACAAGCAGAGGTTTACGCCATAAAGGAAGCGGCTAGTTGCATACGAGAGAAAATTGCTGATAGACCAATAGGGGGATATAGTGATATACTCTGGACAGCTTGCCTGCATTAAGAAGCATCACCATGCAATCAGTGAGATCGAAAACTGTGATGGAATGCCGAGAAGCACTGTCCTGGCTGGGTGTCGGGTGGGGCTACTCTGTGCTGGGTGCCAGGCCACAGCAATGTGGTGGGCAAATCAGGAAGCAGACAGACCTCGCCAAAGACGGGGCCAGGGGAGAGCTGTGGCAGATGACCCACCACTTTGACGATCAACACACTGAAGGAGGCTATAGAACTGCCATCAAGGCCAAGCAGCAAGAGACGTGGCAACACTGTGAGGACTGTGCTACAGCTCGAAGACTATGGCCAGTGGTAGATAGCAAAAAGACAAAACAGCTACTAGAGCATAAAAGGACCTAGTACGCATAATTGTAGGTGTCGTCACTGGAAACTGTTCCACGGGGTAAACCTCGTAAGATGGAAAGTTTCCGACGACGACTACTGCAGAGAATGCGGAGAGGAAGAAGAAACCATAGAGCACCTGTTGTGCCACTGTCCGGCACTGGAATACCGACGCATTAAAAACTTTAGGGCAAGGTTTTTTGAGGGACTAGAGGAAGCAGCAGAAGCCAACATCAGCGACATCGGGAACTTTGCAAAGAGCTGGAAGTGCTTTAACGCAAAGAAAGAATGAGAGGAAGGTTTGGTAAAACAATACAGGGGTATCGCAATGGGCCCAAGGCCTCCGAGTGAGGGATCAAATATGATCCCAAACCCCAGCAACCTAACCTAACCTAACCTAATCACGATCCTGCTTAAAGCGCTTGACGTAAAAAGCTGATTTTTGGAAAACAGATTGACTTTAAGGTGTAGAGTTTCGATAAGAAGGGGTTTTTCGAAACTCGAATTCTAAGGGGGTGAAACTATCCCTCAAATATTAAAAATTGTTTTTTATTTAAAAAACAGGTGAGTTTTTCGGAAAAAACTCTTAAACACGTATATTTTATTTTTTTTGTTTTACATATTTTAAGATTTTTTATAAATTTATTCAGGGTGTTTCCTAAAATATGACCATTGAGTAATCACGATTCTGCTTAAACTGCTTGACGTTTAAAGCTGATTTTAGGCAAACGGATTGATTGTGGGGTGTAGAGATTCGATAAGGAGGCTTTCGAATCTCAAATTCCAAGAGGGTGAAAACCCACCCTCAAATATTACAATATTTGTTATTTAAAAACGGTTAGTCTTTCGGGAAAACGCTTTGGACAAGCATAATTTATTTGGTTTTTACATATTTTGAAATTTTTAAAAATCATAGCAGAGGATGTTCCAAAAAAGTTGGGTAATTTTTTCTTAACCACGATTCTGCTTAAACTGCTTGACGTGAAAAAGCTTATTTTTCTTGGCAAACGGACTTTTCGAAAGTCAAATTCCAACAAGATGAAACTACCCTCAAATATTACCAAGTTATATAATAATATCGCCATATTGTTTTTTGTCATGCTGACATAAATGTGAGAAAATTTTATCCAGTTTGTATGTTAATGGAAATTCTTGCTTTGCTTTACCATCACCATTACAAATGATTAATTCGACGCGAACGAAGTCGCTGGTACACGCTAGTAGACAATAAAAATTCTAAGGTAGTTCTAAAAAAAGCACTTTATTTATATTTTTCACCCCCTCTCGGGTTGAATTTAAAAAAATCTTAATTGAAATTTATAATGTTCCAAGCAAATTGAATAAAAATGTTAAATACATGTGTATATGAATTTTTCAACAACTTTTTTTTAATTTCTACTATCATCCCCTATCTTCAGGCTATCCTATCTCGGTTAATTTTGGTTTAAGCAAAAATAGTTATTTTTATACACGACGATAAAATTGCATTATCGTGTCCCGACATTAATTCGGCAGCGATGAAATCGCTAGTGAATTAATGTCGGGACACGATAATGCAATTTTATCGTCGTGTATAAAACAATATTTTTTTCCATAGCCAGTTACGTTTTAAAAAATATTCAGAAATTATTATTTCAAGGAATTTATTACGAGTAGAAAAAATATTGTGCTGGGTTGGCGTTGGTTTCTATGTAATTTGACAAATAAATAAAGCTGTCTCTTTAGTTGTCAGTTTTGAGTCAATATTTTTTAATTCTCTTTCGTGTCAATTGCTGATTGAATTGCAGCCAGGAATGGCTCAAAACGAAATAAGTAAATTACCAACAGATATTCAGCCTGAGGCGACAAACGCCATATCCAAACTACTTCCATTTAAGTCCCGAATAACTTATGAAAAGGAATACAAAAATTTTCAAAAATGGAAGCAATTAAAAAACGTGCGAGAAGAAATAAAGTTGTTTTTAACCTATCCTCGGTGTTAAAGTATCATTTAATCTACACTTGTTAGTTAGTATCGTATGATCGAATTTTAACTATGTCCAGCTGGTTTGAAATGACGATCGATGACATTTCCCATATAATTTTACATATAAAATGTCAGCGATCTTTCATTTCATAGCCATCGTTGACGCCGTTTTTATTCGATCATACGGTACTATATTTGATATATATATATATATATATATATATATATATATATATATATATATATATATATATATATATATATATATATATATATATATATATATATATATATATATATATAAGGCAATTTAACAGTTGCTATGGAAAACTACAAAATTTATTGGATATTAAATCTATTTCGGATTAAGTCCGAGATTATATCTCCACCAAACTTAATTATACTCTGTTCTATAAGCACCCCATCTTAAATGTCCCACTCTTCAAAATTGTCCATTTAACCAATAATAAGATGAAGGCCAATTTACCAAGTCTGGGTATAAGATAACCATCATTTGCATTTTTATTTTCTTCAATTTAAGTCTTAATATCTCCGCTATTACTCAGTTAAACCGAATTTAAAACAATAACATGGTCTAGTCAGACAGTCAAAATAATCAAACTTGAAACTAAAATTTTCCACTAATGTGCGCGCCAAAAATGATTTAGTACATTTTAGTAGACTGAGTCTATAGTGGGCAAGTTTTTTCTGCTTATTTTCTGTAGGAACTTACATGAATTATTCTAAAATAGGAAGGTATAAAATGTGATAAAAGAGTACAAGATTATAAACCAAGTTATAGAATGAAATAACAACTTGTATGAAACATTATTACGACTCTTGCAAGGTCGAAAATCCCTATTTTTTGAGAAGGATTCCAAAAAAAAACTATTATGTATTAAGTAGGAACCAAAATTACAAAGTCACTTATCTTGATCAACATCAACGGTGTATTATCGGTGTATCTACATAGCCTAGAGCAGCAATAGATAAAAAAAGGTTTTTATTGAAATTTCTTAAAACAAGACCTTCAACTATGATGGCTTGGTATAAAGACGCGTTTACACTATACCCTGCTGGCAAGCGAAACCTTGGGTCGGCGTTTACATGTATAGGAGTGAATCGCTATGGCAATCTAGTAAGTCGGAGAGAGCAAAAATACGAATTATTTATTCCATGACCACTTAATCTGACGCTAGATTCCATGCATTTGGGAAAATACTTGCCTTCTGTCTTTATTCAGTACATCTTATTTTGCTAAGCGTGTTGACCGTACTCTTCGTACACATAAAAATATGCACCCAAGACCAGAAAGGCAAGCCCTAGTATAACCAATTAAACCTTTAGTCACGTGATTAAGCTTGGCCAGCACAGCATCGCCCACTTTTACATATTTGCTTTCAATCAAAATATTTTAGAAAATATAAATAAATTAATTATGAATATATAAACAGGTATTATTTACATCAACAAAACTCACCTCCTTAACAGCACTTATAATCCAATAAAATTGTCATTTGAAAAAAAAAATTACGGGCAAGCTGATTTTTTCAGAGTTTGTCAGCGACTGTCTTCTGAGTGTAAAATAAACAAAATCGGAAATTTTTCCCTTGCGGTTTTTGAGCAATAGGGGTGTTTTTTTTAAACTGTACTACAACAAAATAATTAGACGCAAATTGTAGATAAGAACAATCTCTATAAGTTCGCATAATGATTTTGTTAAGTTTATTATTTCCGGACTTAGCGGCCGTTTCATGAGCCCTTTGGGGTGGGTTTCAAAAAGTTTGTTTTACAGCAAATTGACCCTTATGAAAGTTGTTCACAATAAATGGACAAGCAACTTTTCCTCATGATTTTTTTAGCTTTATTATTTTTGTAGATAGCGTCCAGTTCATGAACAAATTGGGGTAGTTTCATAATTTTTGTTTAGTTCTACAAATTTACCAACCTAAAGGTGTTCATATTAAAATTACATGCAAACTTCCCTATGATATGTATTTATTTCCCCAAAACGAAGCATGGAATTCATGTTTCACAATCCATTTTCCAATAGCACTTGTGAATTTCCTGAGAAAAAAAAGACATTTAAAGCTACCACCACTCAGTTCATAAGGCAAAGGTATATGTACTCTTATTTTGAACGAGTGAAAAGTGAAAACTACCCCAATTTGTTCATGAACTGGATACTATATATTTCCAAAAATAATGAAGCTACAAAAAAAATTCATGAGGAAAAGTTGCTTGTCCATGATTATGAACAACTTTCATACTGGTCAATTTGCTGTAAAACAAACTTTTTGAAAACCACCCCAAAGGGCTCATGAAACGGCCGCTAAGTCTGGAAATAATAAACTCATTAGGCGAACTTATAGAGAATGTTCTTATGTACAATTTGCGTCTAATTATTATGTTGTAGTACAGCTTTAAAAAAATCCACCCCTGTTGCTCAAAAACCGCAAGGGGAAAATTTCCGATTTTGTTTATTTTACACTCAAAAGACAGTCGCGGTCTTTTGACAAACTCTGAAAAAATCAGCTTGCCCGTAATTTTCTTTTTTCACTCTCTATACGGCGATACAATTTTACTGGATTATTAAGAGACATAAAGGGCCATTACTACCGCTTTCCCGTTCAAAATATTCTAAGAAGGTTGCAATGAGTTTTTTGCATTGGCTATTAAGCTATCTTGTATACTTCGCACTAAAAGAGGTTCTATAATGTTCGACTGCAAGGTCTGCTAGTAAATATTTTTAAGATTAAAATATCACAACACAATTTATTTAAACTAAAAACTCCTAATACAAAACTAAAGTGTCAAAACGAACGACAATGTCTGGAAGTAAATAAATAAATGTTTTTACAGCAGAGCTACCACCTGAATCCCCAGCGGGAAATTTAAATTTCAGTTAGTCAGGCCAGCGACGAATATGTCCATAGTTGGCAACAATAAATTTAAAAATCGCGCCCTCGATTACGTCACTAAAGGTTTAATTGGTATATCGCTTATAAATTAATATACACACTGAAATACTTAAGGAAACTAAGGGACTTTTCCTGGTTGTTAAAAACTCGTTTGATTTGCTTCGATTTTAACTAGTTTTAATTAAAGTTTATTAGTAATTATTTTTATTTTTATATTACCTGTTAGCGTGTTCCATAGTTCTATGCTCGTAGGGATTATAAACTTTGTGGTCCATTTTTTGAATGTTTCCATTCTCAATAGGAACTTTGATTTGGTCATTGTTGGCTAATGTGGCTCTGAAAATATAGGAATATATTTTAAATTCCTCTCACGACAATAGTTTTAGCATTGTCTAGGTTATTTATAATCAAGGGTACTATACAGGGTGTCCCAGAAATCAGTGCAAGTATTTTAAGGGGTGGTAGATCTCGATAAAAGAAACATATTCTCTCTTTATCGTTTTAAAACTAAGTCCAAAATAACGGAGTAGAGAAGTAGAGAATACTTTGAAAATTTCCAAACAAAAAAAATATTTTTTGCTAAAATCTTGAGAACCACTGGATCTTTTCTGGATTTTCTTTCTTGTAAGTTTAATCTACTACCTATGTTGCCATATTATCAAGAAATAATGTTTTTAACTAAAAACTAAAAAAATTTTCGAAAATTTTTCAAATTTTCAAAATTTTTTTTTCGCGAAAAAAACGTCATAGGCGTGTTTCTGGGGTTGAACTATACTCCCAGTTAAAATACTTGCACTTATTTCTGGGACACCCTGTATAGTTACTCGACCTTTGATATAACTGTTCTGTTTTTCTTATTTACTGCATGACATTGGAAACAAAAAATTATAAAAACTTGTTTTTTAAACAACTTAAAAAGAACACTAATTAACTTCTTTGTAATTAAACCTTATTAACAACTAAGTTACTTTTAAATACAGGGTGAAAGTAATCAAATACGTAGAAATTCAAAAGTTGATTTCATTTTTATATACCGGGTGCGTCCCAAAAGTGGCTCACCCCTATAACTTTTTTATTTTTTTTAGTTAAATAGTTAAATAAACAAGATATGGTGTGCTAGTATATGACATAAATGAGGATTGATTGACGTATTGAACTGTTTTCAGTCACTTCCTGTTTCACCGGAAATGACTACAACTTTTGACTTTTAAATAAACTCGATATTTTTTACTTTATTCGATAGAAAATGACACTGAATAGAATGACATATTATATGTCAAACTTTTTACATTTTTGAATATAGTTTATTTGAAATTGCAACATGCGATTCATAACGCCAATTTGACTCGAAATACCAAGTGTGTGGTACCAAATTATACGTAAAAAAACGCTTTTCCTAAATATGCTAACGACTCGTTCCATTTGAAAAAATTGACAGATGATTAAAAATTTGGGCATCTTTTAACCGGCCAGGACAAGACACGAAAAATATTAGACGATCAAATCTATTTTTGCAAGGCTCCTTGATTAAAAATTAGTGTTTTTAACACAGCCTAGATTGAAATTTAAAATACAATTCGTTTAAAGCAAAAATGTCAAAAGTTGACATATGATATGTCATTCTACTCATAGTGTCATTTTCTATCGTATAAAGTTGAAATATACCGATGGTGCCATTTAAAAATCAAAAGTTCGAGTCATTTCCGGTGAAACAGGAAGTGACCAAAAACAATTGAATACATCAATTATTCTAATTTATGTCCTATACTAACATACCAAATCTCGTTTTTTTATCTGAAAAAATAAAAAAGTTGTAAAGGTGAGCCACTTTTGAGACGCACCCGGTATATAATCTTGAAGTGTGGACGCACATTTATAATAACACCAATTAAAAGATTTATATCATTTGCGTTTAAAGTGGTTTACTGATTTTAAATATAATATTAGGATATTTAATAATAATTCATAATGTACTTACGTGGAACTAAAGTTATCTATAGTAAATGTGGACGGGTATTTGTCCTTTTTTTCTGTCATGATGTATTCCTAGAACAATTATTATTATTATTAAAAAAGACTAAACAATTACAGATTTAAAAAATCGTATATCTACTAGTGACGTGTATTAGGTACTATTTGCAATTGGATTTGAGAAGCCATATATGCACAACAGGCATCAATACACATTTAGGTACCTTATATAGGCGAACTAAACTCACCTCCTTGATAAATAATACATTTTGTTTTGAAAACGAAAAACATTTCGCTTTCCGCATGTTAATGAATTCAGAAAAGTTTCAGGAACTACCGAAAATGAAAATAACCAGCTTGGTTTAAGCAATCTAATTGACAAGGAACTACACACATGGCCAAAATTATTGCATATAACGATATTTTTATTTTATTTTGGACCTAATATGAGTCTTTTTATTTTATATTTTTGGACATCTTGGCTTACTACACAACTAACTAATATAAAATTAAAGATCTAAGTGCAACTATAGGCTGTTATAACTTTATAACTTCATAATGAGTGATAATCAATAAAAACAAATTTCATTTTAAACAGAAAATATTGAAAACAATTTTAATTATTTCTCACAACTAATAGTCTGTATTGCCTCCTCGAGCCTCAATGCAAACTGTGAGACGAAATGGCATGCTCTCAATTCAGTTGTCCAGAAGATGTTGAGGAATGGCTTCCCATTTCGTGCGCAGCAATTTTCAATTCATTTAAGGTATGGGGGGGAGTGATCATTTCTTTTGGCAATACGGCGTTTTAGCATGTCCCCGGCATGCTCGATCACATTCATATCTGGAGACATCGGTGGCCACCACAGTTTTCTTATACCCTCTTCCTCACAAAATTCGCGAACCGCTAAAGTGCAATGGGGAGGAGCATTATCGTCCATGTAAACAAATTCATCCCCCACTGCCCCTCGAAATGAACGCATAATAGGCACTAAAACGTCTCTAAGATATGAGGCACCTGTCATTGTGCCACAAGAGGAGTTCGAAGTCTGTGCATTATACCTGCCCATACCATAATGCTTCACCCTTGAAACGGGACACGGGGTTAAGCGTGCTCGTCTTCCAGACGCTCTCCAGACCAAATTCGTCGCGAGTCTGACGCTAGGCCTATTCTTGTTTCATCACTAAACATGACGAAATTTCCATTCCCATCCAATTAGGTCCATTAGCTCTCATCTCCTCAGCCCATTGTAGTCGCATAATTTTGTGCTATAAATTAAGCTTCGGAACACGTAGAGGCCTCCTTAAATGTAATCCTCTGTCATGGAGTCTTCTTGCTATTCAAAAGTCTTTCTTGAAACATTTACTCCTTCAAGGCGAGCTAACTCATTTTTAATAGCAGTGCTAGAAAGCAAGGGATTGTGTCGTGCAATTAGGGATATTTGACGGTCTTGCACAGCAGTAGTAACTCTCTTTCTACCTCTTCCAGGACGGTCTGTAACCTCGTTTGTTTCCCTGATTTTTTTTAATATTCGCGAAACATCGCTTTGGTTAACTCCCACAATTTCAGCTATTGCAACTTGCCGGTAGCCCTGTTGAGACAGTGTTACTATTCTGACTCTATTAAACTGTGAAATAATGTTTCTAGGCATTTTAAGGCCAAATGGTCAAGTTTCTTCTGAAACCTAAGAGACCACAAATAGAAATGTGCAAGAATTTGTAACAATATTGGGTCTGAACGATAAACATTGTATACCATATCCATTTTAACAAAAAAATGTTTATTACAGATTATCAAAGCTATGTATAAAAAAAGAGTCTTTGAATTTCTTTTCGTATATTTTAAACCATATTGCAATAATTTTGGCCATGTGTGTATAATGCAGAAAAATAAACTTGAATCGCTCTACTTAAATTAATTTGAATTTGGGATAATCCAAACCAGAAAGAATCATTATTATCGATAGTTAGATAACAATTCGCTACAAAAGCACGTCTTCATCACACTCAAATTTGTTTAACAAAATACTTCCTTATTATTCTAATAATTAGTCTATTGCCATTCATTCGAATTAAATTGAATTATTTACTATTGTTATTGCTGTTTTAACATTTGCACATCTTTATCCTGTTTTACTTGCCCTCTAAATTATATTAAGCATTTAAAGCCCTTGTTGTTTATTGTTTTATTATACAATTATCCAGTGGCGGCTTAACCATCAGGCCAAATGGTCAATACCCCCCCAAAAAAATCAGGAGAAAATTAGAAAACTTATTTATATTATACTTTTTGTAAATTAACTTTTTTCATCCTAAAATATTCAAAACTATTCCCAATTTATCCAATTTTCTCTTGAAAACATTTTATTTTACCCATTTTCTCTACTGCCGTTCAGGTAGGTTTATTGTGTTTATTAGACCTTGTTTGGTTTTAAACAAGAGTTTCGTATTTTTAGGGTCTTATGGACGGACTGTGTCCAAGGTATGGGCAGGTGTCCCATATATGTGTATTGATTCCAAGGTACGGACTATTTCCAAGGTATGGGCAGGTGCCCCATATATATGCATTGATTCCAAGGTTATGATCCAAGGTACGGGCATTATCCAAGGTCCTAGTAGTGTTCCAATGTACGGGTAGTGTGCCCCTGTACCGTTTTCCTATAGTTGGATGCCCTATGTACGGATGTCCTGTGGACGAGTGTCCCATGTAGGGATGGTTTACCTTATGTATAGAGTGCCCCAGCGTGGATGTGGCTTGAGCCCCATGCTGCTTCGTTCCCATCTATAAACTAGTCAGTAGTTACGGCTGTATTAATTCAAGGTGTCCTCATTCTGGCCCCTTTGTTGTATTTGATAGCCGACTACAGAGATGCGAAAGCCCACCTCACGCTGCTACCCTTTGAAACAGGATTGCTTTAAGAACAAACAGCTAAGTTTAATTTAAGTTTTAGTTTACATTCAACATTTAACATATTTTAAGTCTTAAACAATAACATACACCTTGAATAATATCGGACAGACTATATTTAGTGGTTAGTTCGTCAAGAACCTTCATGTCAATTTAGTATTGAAAATATGATGTAGTTCTTAGGTTTCATTACATTACTTCTTGTAATAGTATTACTTTCATAGATATTATTATTGCACTATTTTAACAGATGAATAACCAACAATAGATTCTAGAATCTACGGGTTGCAACATCTTCGATTTAACATCATATAAAATATATCAAATTAATTAAAGTAATGCTACATTTCATATATTTTCTTTAACTTTACATGTCTTGTATTTTATCATAGTTGTTTTCATAGATAATTAGTACAATTCTTAACACCACTTTCTTTGACATACAACCACTATATTTACTAGAACTCTACAATGTCATGTACCAGCAAAGAACATCATGAATAAATATAGTCATTAGTTTTAAGTAATACACAACTGTGTTTTCTTTCTCTGTACATGCCTGGCGCCCAATATCTATATTTTTTTGTTTATTGTTATTGATTAGTTTTCCCTCTAGTAAAATACCTTATCCACGACTGCTCTCCGATGAAAAGCTGCCGTTCGCAGTGGTAATGTTTTATAAAAAAACGCAACAATATATAGTTTACAAAGATATTTAAACTCGTTTTAAGTTTTAAGTTTAAATATCTTTGATAGTTTATATTGACCATTGACTGCGTCACTCATAAAAGGATTTGTAAGGTAGGCAACTTTATATACACTTGTATTTGGAAGTTTACTGACAGACGATATAAAAAGTGCGGTTTTTGTCTTTGTCTAGAAACCAGCGTGTTATTATTGTAATTTGTAATATTGTTTATTAGTTGAGAATCAATATAGTTAATTAAGAAATATCGAGTGCATTATTTCTATATAAATATATTACAGGATTTCAGTCATATCGCTGGAAAAACTTCGCCGTTTGGGCAGTTTGGGTGTTTATAAAAACTCAAATTATAAAACGAGGGGTAAACCGCAGAGGGAAAAGTGTACACCATAATTCCTTTTACTCAAATAATTCCTCAGAATTCCTCGTAATTCCTTCGGAATTCCTTGGAATTCCTGGTCTTCAAGGTCAAGGTCAATCATTCAAGGTATTCCTTGGTATGAACTCGTTAACTCTTTCAGTCTGAACCAGCGTTGCCACCTCGGTTTCGCAGTTCCGCTATGAATTTTCTGGTGATTTTTATAAATGTCTAATGTCTCTATAAGTACTAGATCTAACAATAAAAAGTACTATTACGAGATTTACGTTTTTTTGGTTAAATTTTAGGACTAATAGGGGATCATGAGGTAAAAATACTGGAAATATGTCGGCACTTACTTATTAAAATTAATTTTTCTCGGGATTTTTTGAAAATGATAGTTACCTAGTTATACTATACCTAGTTATAGACGAAATGAAAAAATCAACTTTACACTTTCTGGAGTACTGAATAAAAAAATCTTATGAGGGTTTCTTTAAAATGGCGAAATCAGGAAACGTTATAACTAGATCTCTCGGGGGTGGTTCGGCCGTACTATTGGAAAATATTTTAGATATATAATCGAGGGTACAATATTAAATTAAAAGAATATCTAACCTGTAGATATTTGATATTGGGAAATTTTGGAAGGAAACGAAAAACGGATAGTAAAAAATCGCCTGCAAAACGTTTTTCTTTAAATTTAGTACTACCTATTATAGTATTCATGGTTTACTAATGTTCGTTAATTTTTTATAAAGTTGCTTGTAATTCCTCTTAATTCCTGTGGAATTCCTCTAAATTTCTAAGGAATTCCTTGGAATTCATTGGAATTCTTACGGAAATAATTGGAATTCCTATGGAATTCCTTGGAATTCCTCGTAATTCCTTGGAATTCCTTGGAATTCCTGTAGAATTCCTTCATAGTGTACACCATAATTCCTCTGCGGTTTACCCCTCGTTATAAAACAACCTAGGTTTTTGTATCGTTTATCGCGTATCGCGTATAATGTTTGGTTTAGTCAATATAAATCAATATTTAATTTTTTAATATAGAAACAAAAATTAGTTTTAGTAGCCATAGCTTTGTCGTAGCCGAGAAT